GCTGATTAGTTTTGGCAAAGGCAGGTCCAGCCATTTCGGAGGTACGAAGCTAAATATGCAAAAAATTGCAGTTTTTGAGAAAACTAAGCATCCGATTTGAATGATTAAAAAACTCTTTGTTTGTGTTAATGAAACAATTGCCTTTAAAAAAAAATTTTTTTTCAAGACTTTTTTTTTTATTACTAGTAGAACTTTTAGTATTCCTGATTGTTAAAAAAAAGCTATCAAAAATGTACATGATAACAATATAATTGTGAAGTAACAAATAGCAAGTTATAAAATTAATATAAAAATTAAGATTTACTACTGAATCTTCCCACTACGTAAGCCTACAATCAATATTAATAGTTAATAGTTCTCCTTGCACAATTTTATTAAAATAGAACTTAATAAGTATCTATAGATATAAATCGATATACTACAACAACTAACTACCGTTTATAGTATCATGTTAGTTATTGCCTTGTACTGCTATTATTTTGCCTCTAACATATATTACACTTTTGTAATCAAAATGTTTAATACAAACTAGACCATTATTACAAACTGTAATTATTTTATATTGTAGATTGTTCTAGGTGCCTCAATCAATAATTTAGATTACGAGCCATTGACTATATGTGTATTATAGAGAAATATTATATGTGGAATGGTAAGTCAAATTGTAATTATTCTTATAATACATGTATTTTGTCTGTTAAAGAATAAATAAATTTTTTGGACTTTTTGTGAAAACATTGAATGTTTTAATATTGTCTATAAAAAAAATTATATGATCATTAATTTATATTTTTTGCAACATTTAGTCTGCTTCAACTAGGTACAAAAAAGTGTAACAAATCGCTCATTCTTCATTGTTTTCGTATAAAATTAAAAACTTTAAGTATTCATGCCAAGTAAGAGTTAAGGGAAAATTCAATTGTAAAAATTAAAAAAAAATATTTTCTGTATTTTAAATATTTTTAAAGTTAACTACCCAAGAATATGTGTACAAGAGGATTATAAATTTTGAATAATTTTCGCAGATACAATTGTTTGCCCATGAGGTTTTCTAAAAACAGTTTTTTTTTTCTATTGGATGCAAATGATTTCTCGAGTTCTACTAAAACGATTAACTTAAATTTCTCAGAGAATCTTCTTTATAGACTCTTGCGAGCATATACTATACTATCCTCATCCCCAAATTTCAATTTTTACTATTTTTAAAAAAATCGAGCAACTCAAAAAAGTTTTGTCTTATTACATCCCAAAGCGACTTTTGACACAACTCTTGACATTATTTTCTTCCAAACTTTGATACATTTTTAAAATTAAACTACTTGCCGTAGGGCTGTATAATTTAATTAATAATTTCCAAATATCTTTCAAATAGTTTTGAATTTTTAAAATAGAGTCAGAATTTTTTAATGTAAAACGAGGTTTTTTCACTTTTCTCTTGATTGCTAAAAACGGTTCGGCAGATCGTCGCACAAAACTGAGAAACGTTTTAAATTAAAAAACAAACGTCGATGTAAGGTAAGAAATCTTCACATACACAAACATATTTTTTCCATAAATTGCGAGAGAAGTGCTAATTGACCTGCGATCTATGGAAAGAGAAAGAGCGAGTGGGACTTCGCTCATATAAAAATAAGTATAAAATCAGTGCAAGATTGAAACATTCTAGATCCTACCCCCCACAAAGTAGTGCCTAACGGCGGTTTCTGTAGGGATCAGAGACAAGGGCAAAGCAAAGGTTTTAGTCGGTATTATACACAGGCGGTATTGTGTCTGACATACTCAGACAAGAGACCAGTCTGGGATGCATAAAGGCATTTCCATACAAAAAAATTATCCAAATTGGGTCTGATTCGATTCAGAATGGATTGAAACGTCGAGAAAACATAAAATCAGCTAATTTAGTAAAAAATGTCATTTTTTACGATGATTTAAATGTGACCTAAAATTCATGACTCTACAATAGAGGCAAGTCAATTTTGATAGTTATTATCAAAGATTAGGATATCAATAGGCAAAAAATTCTAAATATATAATTAATAAATCAAAATCGTCACTGACCTGTGAATATTCCGCGCAGATATCAATCCCAGCAACAAATTGCAGACGTCTTCCACGCCCCACGAAGCCAGTTCAACATCGCCTTCACAATGAGGTGGCCCCGGACACCTATTCTGCGCGCAGGCATCGAAGGCGATACTTCGGCCGAGGATTTCGTACTCCCTGCTATCCTATCGGTCATTTTTGGCCTCTTTGCCAAATTCGCCGAACTCAAATCTAAAGGATGACTATCAGTAGACGAACGTTTTGTTAAAGGAGCAACTGCCGATGTTGGCAGGCCCCCCAGAGATGACGCATTGGAGTTGGTATTTGGAATATTAAGCGACGAGGTTGGAGGACTGTGAAGAATTGTAGTGGCTGCCGACGGCGACAGAGATGATGGGTTTTTAAGCAGCGTTTGCATTTGTCTTCTTTGGCAGCTCGCATCATTTGTACGAGAGCTTGCGTACTGCTCATGTCGATTAGAGGTTGAAACATAGAACCTACAAAAATAAAAAAAAATTAAATCACATTACACTTCAATGCCAGAAAAACCTTGCATATATATTCAATTATTACCTGGTGGAAACGGAAATCCAGGATACATCGATGGCCCAGTCTCGCCCGTTCGTTTTCGGCGGCGAATCAGCAGCCAGCGGCCTTTCTCTTTGGGCTGCTGCTGCTGCAGCCGTTGCAGCTACAGCTGTAGCCGCCAGCGTTTGTTGTGTCGGACTACCGCGTTGACTTGTGGCAGATGTCGAAGGAGAAACGCTGACAGCAGCAGAACTTGCTGCTCCGGGTAACAGCGGAGCAAGAAGACCTGGAAATGGTGACCCTTTGAACGGTGGACCTGCGAATCGAGGATCGAGTGCTGGGAAGCCGTTTCTTGCTGCTCCAAAGTAACTAGAAGAAAATAATTTATTTTATCAGTATCATCTTTGATTAGAAAAATATTATGCATTAGACTTATCACATATTAAAAAATAGACAAAATTATTCCATAGACAAAGTGTAAATTATTTCCTGAAAAAAAGAGATGCCTATATGAACCACAATTGAATTTTGAAGCTCGTCTATCGTTTTTAGAATACCTCTGTATACAACTATATTGCATGGTAAAAAATTTAAATTATGAGGAGTACATCAACATAAGCTCCTACAAAAGCAATTCATAACAGTTAATCTTAGATGTTTTTTTATCATCTCTAATAAAGAAAACGCATTCTATAATAGCTGCTCGATGTATATGAGCAGTAAGTGCTGCACTTATAACATAAACTACGCACTTGCAGATAATATCATAGTCATTGCTTAGTTTATAGAATGCATGTGCATAAATCAGATTATCTAATCAATACAGGGTTGAGAAAAATATAGCTATGACAAAGCTAAATTCACAGGATAAGTGTATCAACAAAGTTTACAACAAAATAAGAGATAATATGATAAAATATAAAATTAGCCCTTTTATTAAAAGAGCATTTTTTGCAAGAGTGACCTCTGCTGATGAATATTTCTGATGAAATAACAGATCCGGGTTATCAGCACTGTTATCGCTGTAAAAATGCATCCATGAAATTTATGTTTTGCATTGGTCGAATAATACAGCAATTATTTTGTAAAATTCCAATCCCAATTTGTGATTTACCCCTTTCAATTTACCCCATCTTTGTGATAAAATGGACCATTTTGAAATACAGCAGAAAACACATTTCTACAATGATGATTAGCTGGTAATGTTAGTGAACAAAGTGAGATAGTTGTTGTATATAAAATATAATCTGAAAGTTTTCATTTCCTCATTTGACAACCCTGTTCCAAGATCTAGCGATCTAGCACCATGAATAGAACCGACTGCTACCCGACAATTATTCTCTTACAATGGGGAGTTGCCACATTTACATGTATATCGTTAGCGATGAGCCCCCGATGTAATTACATGGCGGCGAACCGTTTAAGAGCACCGCATCAGGCCATACTATCAATAATAATACATGCACACATCGGGCAATACGCGCCTCTACACATATGTGATTCGAAATAGAGATCCTTCAGCAGATCCAGAAAGAAAAATTGAGGTTTATGATTCAATATGAAAATAAAATAGTGGTGCATCGCATCGTGCCTTAAGGCAATTTGCTGAACATTCTCATTCCGTAATTTAAATTTTTTAAAAGCTTTAAAAAAATTTGAAAATTTTGAAAAAAATATTTTTTGAGAAAAAAAATCACTTTCATGAAATTTTTTTTTTTTTTGTATTGTTTGAAAATTTAGATAGTCGAATTGTTTAAAGCTCGACCCGCGGTTATAGAGGTACTCAGATCGAATATACTTAAACTAGTTGTTATTGGTATTTTGCTTTAAATGAACTTCTCGATTTGTGTAAATGATCGACTTAATGATAGATAAATTAATTTATGAGTAGTTAAAAGTATTCGAAGTGAATTTATTACACATTATTGAAAATCGAACACGTCAACCCGGTCGGAGTATTTTTTAAAAGCAAATTTTCAAAAATCAATAAATTTTATAATTGAGCTAGTTTTTTGTAGGACTTTAATTGTTTAGTATGTTCATTAAGGCCAAGTACTCTATCGTTATACCAAGTAAATCGTCTAATTTCAATTTAAACAAATGTCAAAAGAACAAATACTCATTTCTCAAACTTTGATGAATTTTTAAATTAAACTATTTGTCGTAAGGCCGTAATATTTCAGTAAGTTCTATAAGACCATGATCAACTATGAAAACCACCAAATCAACCATGAAAACTAATCAGTATCATTCCCAACTAATATCTTTCAAACAGTTTTTGATTTTATGCCAAATGCCAAAAAACGATACTAATTTTTGCAAACTTTGAAGAATTTTTAAAGCTAAACGAGTTGTCGTAGGGACGTAATGTTTTAGTATGATCTAGAAGACTATGGTATCTATCGTAATAAAAAGAATAAAAATCGACGAAATAAATTGTTTCAACACTTTATTACAAGAAAACGGCCCAGCCAATCTCTACCAAAAACTCATCAGCACGATTCCCACTAATATCTTTCGAACGGTTTTTGAATTTTCAAAATCGATTCAGAACTGCGGGCTAAAACGTGGACAAAAAAAATTTCACTTTGTTGTTATTCACACAGAAACGGCTTGGCTGATCGTCGCGCAAAATTGATAAATGCTAGAACTCATCGCGATACATCGGATGTCTTTTAAACTTTTGAAATCGGTCCAGCCGTTTTTGAGAAAACGTCGATTTACGACAAAAATCTTCACACACACAAACATTTTCCAAATTTGGTCTCATTTGATTCAGAGTGGCTTGAAACGTCGAGAAAACATAAAATTAGCAAATCGGATTTTTTTTATTAAAACATAAACTTCTCCTTCAGGAAGTTAACAAGCTCAAAATTTTCAAAAAAAATTTAAAAATTTGAACTTTTCTCTCTGATAGCACTACAAAAACTTTGTAATTTATCTTCTTCAGCTCTCAATCTATTACCACCGGTGTTCTAAAAGTCATTTTTCTAGAACACCGACTTTAGTGTAGCATAGTTACCACATTATTGTCCTCGGGGCAAACTGCACCTATACGCAAGATTACTGCGGAAGGCCGATTAAATCTAATTTTCAAGCTGCGTTACAGTTAGAAGTTACTATCGGAAAACAAAAACGAAGCTATATTATCGAGAACGTAGAATGGAATGGCTACAGCGCTGAGCAGCTTTTTTCTCCTATGTATAATAAATGGAGCATTGTTGCGATTGTGATAATAAATTATAAAATGTGTTTCGCAATATAGTTTCAGAAGTTGTTCTCGAGAAATTAAAAATTGTTAACGTGAAACAAATCAAACAATGTGCAATTTAGGGGGCGTCATTAATAACATTTTCAAGAATTTATATTTAAAACTAGATGACCCAACAGACATTGTCCCGTACCCATGTCTACAATTTTTTAATATAATATAATAATATTTACCGTTTACCTAAAGATAATATTATTGTTTTTCAAATTACTCTTCACGCCAAAATGCATATACATTTATAATATGAGCGATGTTAAATGTAGAACTGCTTCAAATAAAATGATTAGTCTCAACTTCTACACTATATTGGAAATTGAAATCTTTTAAACGGTATAACATAACCATAATAACCATAACATAACACTGGTACTTCATGTTGGATTAAATTAATTTTTTTTTTTTATTTAAGATATCCAAAATTGCATCTTAAACTTCTCCTAATCGAAATCGTGAGGGCCGAATTGCATGTATTCCCCTTTGTTGTTATAAAGTGAAATTCTTACGAATTTTAAAAATATTGTGGAGAGATTAGTAAAAGATGCAAAGAAATTATCCGAATCTTGTGTTGGCGCCCCCTAAGACGTGCGCTCGTATTTCTCGCATGCATTGCATTGAAGGTAGGACCGGCCTTGATTAATACTTAATTTCATATTTTAAGTGAATTAATTTGTCATATCCTATTCATATGTGTATCATTCAATCTGCCATAGATATACAGTATCTTATATTATTTCAATTTATGGCACATCTCAGCTGCTTTTTGGTAATAATAATGTAGATATTTCATTCTTCTTATTCATAATCATGAATATATTATACATATTCTAATATTGTCTAGGTTCATAAGTAAATTGAAATTTTTGGCAGATGATAGTTTGTATTTGTTTTCAATGCAAACAATAACATGTCGTTTTTTGCAGTTTTTTACATTTATTTCTACAATATTGCACACACATCCTTAACAATCTTCAGAAAGTTTTATCAAAATCCGGAGAATCGTTCAGAAGGAGTATACAGTAAGTGCTTGTAATTTAATATGAACTTTAATAGCAATAAAGCTCCAATTGATTCTACGTTTTAGTTAGAAAACGTTTGTATGTGGAAAAGAAAAAGGTTGTTTTTAGGGTTTCTCCGGCAATTATTCGATTTTTCTTGCCGTAAGAACCATCCTTGGACATTTTAAACATTCTAAAACATTTTGCCAAACATTTTAAAAAAAGAATTGACCAAATTGGTTCAGGCGTTGTTGAGTTATGCGCTTACCAACACATTTTGCGATTCATTTTTATATATAAGATTACTCCCCCTCCCCACACAACATCACGTGTATTTTTAGTACCTAGCAAATATCGTGAAATATATGATTTTTTTCCATTAAGCCCTTATGAAACCTTAATATATGTCTATTACCAGTTCTATCTAAAATTAAAAATATTATTTAAAATCAAACTCACTCATTAGGATTTGAGTTGTTGTATTTGGCAGCCAGGCTGCGTATGAAGTCTGAACAGTTTCGCCCCATGACTTGCTCCATGTGTCTGATGGTGGCTTGCGTTTGTGCAGGACTGGGGCCGCGGTCGTGGGGGTTCTGAGGCGGCGTTCCTGGGTAACTCGAAGAGGATGGTGTTACACTCCGAGACCTGAAAGGAAACGAAGTACATTTTCTTAGTTATGATTTAAATTAAGAGCTGTTTAGTAAAGATATTCAGTAAATAATGTGTTATAATTACATAATTTATTTAGGAAGATTACCCAATGGTAGCCGTTTCTAGTGTGAATAAAATGAAACCGATTTATTAAAGGGTGATTAAGAGAAAAATACCAGGAATCGTCAAGATATTGTGCTCATGAAAAAAAGTCGACAAGACGTAGTAGATGACAGAAAAAACATAATTCTACTTGAAAATCTAATAAATTCCAGCAATTCGAAAAAAGAGCTTAATAACACTGAAAAAATCTGATCGTCTATTTGGAAACGGATGGAAAATCAAACATCTTTCTTCATACTAAATTAACAAAAAACAACTGTTTGTGACAAACCTATCAACAATATTAATACAATTATTTAATTAACTCATATATATATAATTAGTTTATAATTTATAATTGGTTTATATTTATAATTAACCTAAAGTTAATGTAAAGAAAATAACGAATGCAAGTTTGTCACACTTTGTGCAAAATAGTTAAAAATGGATGAAAATAACTATTCATATGATCACGATGACGATGGATATGTGTGTCCATGCACATTGTAAGGCTGATTACTATACGTGCATTTAATTAAAACTTGGTAATTATTGCTAATAAAATATATATACATATAGGATAGAGCGAGGCATAAAGGTCGGCGCATAAAAATCTCCACCACCGATATCTCAAAAACAGGTATAATTAAAACATTTTAACACCGATATTTGAAGATAGAAGGTAGAGATGTATAACCAGTCATCGACTTAATTCTTATGAATGTTGCTAACGAAAGATAAACGACAATGTTTCAAAATCCAAATCCACAATAATATTTTCCCTCGTTATAAGTTACGAAACCATAATATAATTTTTGTGAATACGTTATTTAATTGTTTTATAAGTTGTCTTGTTAAATTAGATTCAACAGTTTCTTTTATATAACCTCTATTACAGATTACACGTGTAGGTGGGGTAAAAGGACCAACTGAACGTTTTACCTGGGAAACGTGAAAACAATAAAAATAGTAAAAACGAAATTAAGTTGCAAGTTATACACAGTGTTATCTTTGTAAAAAATCTTACCAATTTATGTTCTGCATTTGTTAAATAATGTAGCTAATAATTTGTGAAATCCCTTTAAAATTAAAAATAATACATTGGACCTGTTTGCCCCTTATCACCCCGTACACGGCAAACAGCAAAAAAAGCATTTTTACAATGATGAAGGGAGTTTTATTTACATAGTAAATTTATATAAAAAAATTAGTTGTACATAGGTATATCATCATATTTGCTTCGGTCAGTAGTATGCATTAGCACATCCATAACGGGGTTAACATTTGTGTTTGATTAGCGTCTTATGCATCTCAAACACCGTTTAATACGCATTAATGGAAGTGCATCACGCACATAATTTAAATGATCATTTCAGATATATGCTAAGTATTATTTTTATAGTTTTTAAGCTCTTAACGTTTTGTAATTGTTAAGATTTTAAATTTGTTACATTTTCAGCAAATTTCATTTATATTAAATATTTAAATTTATTTATTCACTTAAATTATTTTAATAAAACCAAATTAACTAATTATAATAATATTGTTTTCAATATACAAACATATTATAAAAAATTTATTATAAAAAAATTATATCAATCAGGGCTGTACTTAAAATACAGTGCCTGAGTTTACTTGTCGCTAAGACGATATTGGAGGGATGGAAAATCAAACAACTTTCTTTATACTAAACTAACAGTAAAAGTACGCATTATTTACATTTAACAAATTCATATAAAAGCAAAAAAATCATCTATACTTCTTTAAACTTCAACCGAGAACGCAGGAGAAACGGTGCGGTAAATTTGAATTAATATGGTTCGGCATAAGTTTATTTGCACTTATTTGGTCTTATACAATAAGAAAATTGCTTGATCTACAAATATTTAAACTGAATCAAAACAATATTTGAAAATAGGTTTGATAAAAAAATTTAACATTATTCTAGGAAACAGTAAATTTCCCATATGATTGGAGAACATTAATTTTAATTTTAATTGGTGCTCAAGGAATAATAAGATAAAATTTAATTATCTCAAGTAATATCTATTGCGCTATAAAAATTACCGGAACACCAAAAATCATCAATATATAATTATACCCTTTTTTTAATTACAATATTTATACTCAATGTTAACAGTTTTAAAATTGTAAAATCCATGTTAAATATACGCTTTATGTAAATGAAACTTTCAAAGCTGCAATTCAGAGTTCTTAAATTAGTCGAACTTTTTTTAACTAAAATCGAAATTTATTTTAAAAAAATGTATTTTTCAAACATTGGAAATTATGAGAACATATGTCTTCAACCATTATAGGTAAAATCTTAATTAAGCAATATCAAAAGATCTCTATCCACTAACCTGCTAGCACTGGACTGATTATCCGGCGTCAAAGCCGCTCTGCCCGGACTCAACCTCTCACTTTTCACTGCGTGATTATTATTCAGACTGCTACTGTTATTATTATTATTAACACCGCTATTATTATTATTTAAACTATTATTATTATTATTCATGTGATGATCCGCTCCGGCAGCACCGTTCATGCTAGCGGGGGTGACAAGTGCCGCCTGGGAGACTCCAGACGCAATTGAAAGTTGATGCTGATTCTGTTGATGTTGAAGTTGGTGGTGGATTGATGTCGAATGGTTGCTGCTGTGGTTGAGGTTCGTCCGTCGTTTGCCGCGCGCCCTCACGGGGGCGGCGGGAAGGCTAGGCGGCAGCGCGCCTGCCGCACTTTCGCTCTCGGCTCCGTCACCTGAAAAAAAAATAGATAAAATTATAATAAAATTGAAAAAAAGGCACACAAAATTTAGTCTTATTACTAAACAAATAAGTTTCTAAATGAAGATTTTTTTTTCTTAAAATAAACCTTACTGAATATCAGAGATTTCAAACAGCAATTGTCAATAGACAATGAATATCAATATTATTAGGATTTCGAGGTGCACAGGTAAACAGGTCCGCTACCATTATCTCAAAAGCAAGTAAAGTATGTCATGTTTATTTATGCTATTTTAAAGTAAAAGAAAAAGATGTGTTATCAGCCATTGCTTTAAATACAGCGAATTTGCTATCACAAGATATATGGTCATATTGTTATTTTTCAGAAAAAGTATTTTCTTCTGAAATGGACGTCATAGGCAAAGTATTAAAACCGAGTGACAATTTTTGAAAATAAAAAAACATTGACAAATTAGCTGCAAAATTTGTTGAAATTAAATAGTTTTTTGATTCACAAATCAACAAATAATCTAATTACTTCTAAACTTTTATATTTAAAAATACTCAGCCAAACCAATCAACATAAAAGTTGTACAAAAAACTCATACGAAGTTCATTTTTAACTTCCCGTAGGGTTTAGTTATAGTAATCGCAAAAAAATCGAAAATGAAAATTTTTATATATCTTTACGTTTCAAAGAATTCTGAATATTTTGGCATACCTTAGAACAAGTTAATGTATGTGCGCGTGTGTGTGTGCGTGTGTGTGCGGATACAAATTTTCGTCGACGATTTCGGGAACATTTGATACGGAGACGTCCTGATTAGTTTTTGGCGAAGGCAGGTCTAGCCGTTTCGAAGAAACGGGGCATAAAGTGCCAAAAATGCTAACTCAGTTTTTAAGAGAACGCAGCGCCCGATTTGATTATTTCAAAAAACATTTTACTTGTACTAACAAGATGAAGAACTGATCAAATTTTCATAAAAGCAGGTCTAGTAAAAAAAGTTAAAAAAATGCCACCTGGCGGTCAAAAATGATCATTAGACTTATGCACATCAAATATTAGTGTCAGTTTTGAAATGATTAAGGATTAATAGGATATTTTAGTTTTTTTAATAGAGAAGTTTTGATTTTCATAACTATTTATTATAAATTCAAAAGCATAAATTCAAACAGTTAATTGGTCTTTAAAATTTATTTTTTTCATGTATATTCCACAAAAAGCAAATTTACTGAAAATTTACTGATTTAAAATATTTTAGTTATTAATACCTATATTATTTATTATTAATACCTGATATATGATATTTTGTCGTCAATGTATTTTTCTTCAGGAATATCTGTTTTAACTTGGTTAATAATAATCTTTGCTCTTGTAGCTCTTTACTCTTTTAATACTCTTTTAATATTTAATTTATTAATGAGATATGATTAAGAATTATTTAAGAATATAAATATAAAAAAACGAATATGGTTGTATCATGAATTTATAATTTTTGGTTTCAGGTAAGTGATTAAATTGGGCAGAAAGTTCGACATTAAAATTAAAGTTTGGTGGTATTTTATCTAAGAACTCTATTATAAAATTTTTAATTAAATTTCCCTAAAAAATTCCAAGTTTGCAAGACTATTAGTATCTAATTTGCTTTTCATATTTTATGAATATCTCCTTATATATGTAACATGTATGATTAATATACAAATTAAGTGCAATATTTTGTGACACAGTTACTCTCTAATTTAGAAACAAATTAGTCAAAAACATGAAAACTTGAATATCTTAATGATATATTAGTAAAAAATTACAATTTTCATACAATTAGTAATTTTTATTGCATTAATTTTAGCATTGCAAGTTTAAATTGCACCATATTTCTCTATTATTTCAAATAGAGCAATTCAAAGTTGTATTTGTAAAAATAATTCAGTATTATTGTCAACTTAAAGCATGTATTACATGCTCATTTATTCTATATTATATCTCAGACATTTATTTGGAAAAAAGTGGTAATTCTCATACATCTGAATTTTTTTTAAATTTCATTACTAAAGAACAATAAGAGTTGTTCCTATTGTTGCTAATGAAGTAATTAAATGTTGTGATTATCATGATCGTTGGACGAATGCGTGACCACGTGTGTTTTTCATCTATTAAATTTATTGCAATTAGCAATTGATGAGCTGAACACTGATTATTGAACAATGAAAAACGAAGCTATTAGTTGTAATGGCCATAAAATTGTAATTGACGGTTAATGCAGTATTGCGACAATATCCTGTACACAGATTGTATTCATAAACTTAAACAACTAAAAAAACTAGACATAATTATCCATATTTGTGCATCATGAGTTAGATCTGTTGTTATCATACTATTAAGTGTTCTGACTTCTTTCGTCGGTAGCTTTATATTGCTTATGAGAATCTTGGATTTTGCTTGTTTTTTCCTAATTGCTATAATTTGAGTAAATCGCCATAATGAAGCTAAATACGAGTTACAATATAATAATATGATATCATTAAAATATTTTGTTAGTTAAATGTCATTAACATAATCTCTATCTAATGATTATTATGGTCTTCTAGTTAGCCAGTAGGTTGGCACGAGCTGGCATGTATTTAATGAGTTTTCTTGTGTATTATTATATATTATATACAATAATTATATTCCCGAGCTGAGGCGCGCGTTAAACATACATAATAATGGAGGTTTGAAAGAAAACTTATATTTTCATTTACTGAAAAAAAAGTTTAATCACACCAATAATGTGTAGTCTATATGTGAAAAGAACAATGTTTTGATATCACAACAAAAACAAAAATAAATAGGAATAACAATTAGTAAAAAATCGCAAATATGTATTGACTTCTTCGAGTCCAAGATAGATAACCTAAGATTAAAAATAAGATAGTGAACATCTTCATTCCAGGTAGAGCAGGATAGGGCTTCAAGGTCCACCACTATTATATTCGCAAAAACAATTGAAATTTAAAGTAGAGGGCAATATATGTGTAATCAGCCATATCTAGATAAATAACTAGAATAATAGCAATAACTAGATAAATGTGAACAAAAGTAATAAGTTGACCCTGTCAAGCGTGGATGATAATGATATCAAGTAGCAAAAACCTTATGCAGTTTTTCTAAAAAATTGTTCCTTCATACGTCTCGTATTCAATCTTCATGGCTTCTGATTCAGAATCTTCTTGTTCATTTACGGTACCCTGAACAGAAATGTTCAGGGTACGTTTCTGAAATCTTAGACACAACCATTAGTTATCTGCGTAACCAGTGACCATAACCGTAGAAGGTATCTCGTAATAGCAAAACATTTATCATGCGATACTATACGTATAGTCTATCTTTCTTAACTAACCGTTTCGTTCTTGCTTATTAAAAGCGCACTAGTAGCTACGGTAGAGTAACCACGAATTAGAACAGGTGGCGTCAACCTAATAGATAGATAGTATTTATTGGCCAATTCCAAGATAGCATAGCTATGTTATATTGCCAGTTTCTTGTGGAAACATTACATCACCTATTTTATTTTGATCAATCAAGTTTTCTTTTTGTTGGCTCTCAATGTGGTAGCCGGTGCACAAAGGACGAATTTGACTTTGAACAATTGTATTGTAAAAACCAAACCAATTACACCTAAGTCTGTTTTTACACGGTCTTTTTGTACACGGTTTTGATATAACACGGTTTGAAAATTGAATATTTTTAATTTTTTTGCACGATTTTATTCCATTTAGCACGATTTAAAATTTTATGTACTCAAATTTTTTTTGTCAAATTTAATTTTTGCGAAGTATGTTCATATCACAAAAAAGTATTTATGAAAGAAAAAAGTCTGAAACCATCGATAGTATCGATAGTTTGCGAACACTAGCTTAAAGATTTAAGTGAATTCCCCTTTAGCGCGTACAAACAATTTTTATTGGTCAAAGCAAATGTGAATAGCACTAATTTAGGGGAATACCCTAAAAATTCTTGTTTTTCACTAATTTTAATAGGTTTTAGAGATTAGGAACAAATCACCCATTTTTGTATAAGATCAATGTCTTTTTTTACACGATTTTTTTTTTACACGGCTTCTTCTGGAACCAATCTACCGTGTAAAAACAGACTTAGGTCGCAACTAATAACACATCAAACAAACAGCCTATCAGAATATGTTCAGTAAATCTCCCATCTAATTCATCTTTATAAAAATGTATTTTTTTGCTGTTTTTCAAAAATCTGTCATCTGGTCCTTGACCTTAATCTTACCCTGAGACTTTTGTTTGAAATCTCATAGCTTTAACTTATATCATGAATTTCCAAGATGGGCTATAGGTGCCAAATCCCTCCAAATGCGTTTTCGAAATTACAATTCGCATCCAAGATATTGCAAGGCGACTATAATAATAAGAGATAGTAGTTGGTTGAATGAATAGACGGATGAACGGATGGATTCACGTAACTAAGGCGAACGCGCTTATTAATGTTTTTCACTTCAATCATAGACAGAGGGCCAGAAAGTAATTTGTACAATTTTTGCATCCATACAAACATCTATGAACATGTTTGCCAAACATCATAATGGCCTAGAAACTACAATGTGGATTAAAAGTGCACATTTATTCCCAATATCGTTTATAAATCCAAAACTATTTGATCAATATAAGTGATGCTTTTAGGAAATTTGTTCAAAATTGAAAAATGGATATGTTTGTCTAACATCATATTGATCTATATCAACTCAATATACCTCTTGATCTGAGTGAAACTGGAAACTCGATAAAGTACACCAATTGTGCACATTGATTTACATTATCGTTTACAAATCCGAAACCATTCGATTTATATGAATGACGAATTTGGGAAATTTGTTCAAAATTAAATTATGCTTAAGTTTGGCTAATATCATAATTACCCATATCAACTTAGGAATTGTCACTTTGTATTACTACGTACTCATAAAAGGTAGAAGCTAATATAAAGTGAAGACCATATAGTTAAAAAATATGATTATAATCAACAAATTATAA